AGACGGAGGACAATTGCTAAATATATGCTTGTTTCGCTCTATATCAGAGCTCATCAGAATGCCCAGGAAACACTGATGAAATTTTGATTTACATCAACGAATCTTTCTTTAACAGATTTATTGGGTTATATGGTAATATGTATATATACAGACATTAAAGGAGAACTCCAAGGGGTAAAGCACAAACATGACTCCAGGGCTTTATTTATAGCCTTTATATGGCCCCCTGAGAATACTGAATATAGCTACTAAATATAATTACAGTTTGTAACATGAACAATCAGATAAGCGCCATTTACATCAGGGTCTGAAATTTATATTTTTTCTCAGTATCCAAAGGGGATACCAGGATTCAAAGTTTAGTATATCCTATCCCATCCAAATAAGTTTCCATAACACTCACTGTTACAAATTACAATAACAACTGAGGAGACTCCACAGTCAACAACAAATAAACAATTAATCCACATAATCCTTCAACAAACTTCTATATGCTAGTCCTCATTGAGGAAAGACTGGTGGTAAACTGATAATATTCAAAAACTTTCAGGAGCCTATCAAAGGAAATTTTTTAGTATCCAGTCAGGATAGTATTATTCATAATTTGGTATCCAAAATCAAATTTTTGGTATCCTGTGGATATCAGGATACTAAAATATATTTCAGACCCTGTACATAAGAACCTGTTTAGGCTAACTTGGAAAAAATCTAGGTTCTTATTCGCAGGGTTTTAATTTACTGTGTTGTCTAATTTTGTCCCAAAACAGACCATGCACAGCAGCCTGTTCTGGCAACATAGATAATGGGATGGTGCCACTCTTTGTGACACAAAATCAGGCAATTATAGTACAATATGAACTGGCAAGTGTCTGGCACCTTAAAATCAGATTCCTTTGTGTAGATGGAGCTCATAAGCCTTGGCTGGCAATCCATCTAGGAGAAAGAAAGCTCTGATTTCAAACCCCCAGACCCCACTTTTGGACAAGACATGTATAGTAACTATATCAGTCATGATCATCTAAAAATGCCAGTATATATGCACTTATACAAAGCTGTATGCACTGCAAAGCTACACTTTATTTATCTCAATGACATTTTCAGGGTTCTGGATCATTTTCATTACTTTGTGAAGAGTTTATTCTCTTTGATTTTTATACATTTTTAGATCTGACTGGTTTCCATGTGATAAAATAAGAACCTGAAATACTAGCCTAAACAGATTGAGTGTCTAAATACTGAAAAATTAGCCTGACAGGCCCTTATACAGGTTCTTATATGCAAGCTTTTACTTACAATTAGGGTGGAAAATATACTTTTTAGTTGAGTTTGTTTACATCATATAAGTATTTGTGATCAAAATCTTTTATAAACTAAATGTCTTAGGGGTGTTTATATGGAAGCAAGCCAGCCCAGTTACCTGAGCTAGGTGGCTTTGCCTAGCTAATTTCATCATGTAGTAGGCTGGCACCAAAACAAATCATCGCGAGAAACTGTCATGGTTATGACCATCACAACTGTTCACAGAGGCATTAATTTATAAAATTATAGATCAAAAATCTGTTGAGAAAGTCTTATTTACTACAATTAGTACAATATATTCGTATTGAGCGGCTTAGGCAAACCAGCCAACCTAGGCGAGATCTGGGGCTCTGTCGGGCTTCACAAATTAAACAAGATCTTGCTTAGGCAAGCAAGCCTGGTTCTCATATACACACAATACGAATATTAGTATAAATTATCTAGCAACATTAGATCTCGGCCAAGCGAGCTAGCTCAGGCACCCGAGAGCTGGCTTGCCTCCATATAAACACCCCATTAGGTCAAGTACTGTAACTTCAGAGCAACTAAATGGCATTTAAACTGTTATGTGCTTTGATCAAATTAAAATCTACTTTAGCTTTGATCAGAGAAACTTTTTGATGTGTTTCTATTAAGTTTTAAGTGAGCACAAGTTGTCCATGAGCAGACAGTCAAAGACAGTAAATCACTGCCACAGCCAAGTAGATTATCACTCTGACAAGTGACAATAACATGTATATATAAACAGCCATCCCCAAAGTCCCAAACATGTTCACTCCAAATTGTTCATTATTTTTTCATCGACAACTCACTAGTCTCGAGTATCATATCTTTAGGCCTTTATAATTATATTATGGGTTTCAGTTTGTAAACAAAATAGATAAACAGTTCGTATATATTAACGATAGTGAAATAGTGTAATAAAGAAAATTTTATAGTCATTAAAACCTCGATTGATGGGCTTCAACAAGCGATTTCTCTGAAGGATCAACATTGCAGCTATGTTCGGAGCAATCTCCAATCCTTCTAGGATTCTTTTCTTGACAACCTTTGTAGAAGCTTGAGGATGCAGGTATATCATGGCCATTCATGGGCAGACGCAGAAATGGAATGCGCTCTCCATCGAGGAAAACAATAAAATAGATACACTTTGATACACTTTCGAAGCATCCCTGTTAGCGTAGTATCCTTTCCTACTCGTCATGTTGCCTCAATAACTCGTTATTTGACGGACTGTCGCTCAAAAAATCTCAAAATATTTTGGAAACTTCTTCGCTCCTTGGGCATTAAATTCAATTGCGATAAAAACAACGCGCGTGTTATTGTCAGAAATGAGACTGGACCGAGCACAAACAGAGGATGACAACTTCCTGTGTGTCCCCACATAAACAAAAGTCCAGCACATGCGCAGATGCGACTGTAACCTACCTTTAAATTCAATTTGAAACAAACAGAATTTTGAGTGAAATTTCATTGTATTTTAAAGAAACTCAGTCATTCTGTCATTGTTTGTGGAGATACGAACTATTGATATATAAATTATATAAATATAAAATATAAAAAATAAATCTCCCACTGTCTTCGACATTTCAAAGTGTAGACTGTGTCTAGTGTACCCTGGTTCCAGAGGTTTAAAAACCTCTGGAACCAGGGTATGTCTAGTGATGAGAATCAAGGAATTTATTTTATGTGTTAATATAAACCAAGCCCGTTTAGCCGTTTAGCTGCCTTAAAACGGTGGTTTAATAAGCTCAAAATACAAAGCATGCAAGTCAACAACCAAACTGAAAGTATTGAACCTTATAGAACGATAGTTTTTATTTGTTTACAACTATACATATTCAACGGGTATATAAGAGTTTAACTGTTACTTGATAATTACTGCATCAACCGGCCCCTTGTTTATACTTTGGAGGTTCGTATATAATATCTATCAAGTATCTTTGGTTCAGAACATGACTGATAGGCCTATATGGAAATCCCACTGTTCGATTCAGTGAAGAAATATCTCCTAATTTCTATCGATAGTTTTAGTAAAATGTCAACATTATTGCGATTTATGGCCTTTGAAAGTCAAGCGAGATAGTATATTATAAAATTAATACGCATGTAATTATTGTCTGAACAAAAATATAGACTAGCCCATACCTTTCGCCGATCATAACTTCGGCCCCTTCGGACGTATCTTCTTTGTTAAATATTCTTGTTCGAATCTCTATCAATAACACTATTTAGAGTGTTATTTTCAGCTTGTATCTTTTAATTTGCTTCTTTTATTATGTTATTCCATTTCTGGTCTGACTTGACGTGAACTAATTTCAAAACGCAGAGTTTCAAAACGTCAAAACATTTGGTTAATGATTAACATTTAACCGAATTTAGCCGTTGATTGACAACTACACAAAAATACTAACCAATCCGTTTTTCCCGTTCACCAGCGGACGGGTAATTCAAAAACCCCTAGTTTTGCGGCAGACGGTATTTCCTTTGCTTCCCTAATTTTCGCTGCCCGTAGAAATACCGCCTGCCATGCAGGCTAGGCTAGTCGTAGACTTGCTCCAAGTCTCTCTTTGTGGACATTTATTATTGTACATCTATATTGTACGTTACATGACGTACCGCTGAGGGGGAGAGGAGGAAAGAGCAACCTCGTCCCCAGCGTCTTCCTTGTGGTGGCGCGTGAGCTGAGGAAGACCCTGGTAAAATACGATGAAATCTCCAAGATTCTTGGAGATTTATCGCATGCGCAGTAACGACAACGTTATGTTGCTGACTACAATAGCGCTGGCGCTTACGATTTTCTTGCTTTAAAAATACACATGTTTTGTTGATTCTTTATGTATTTATTCTCAAAGTTTTAACAAATTTTAAGAAAAATACTTCAGATATAAGCTGTGAACACACATGTACACAAAACTGTGCAACATTCGTCATATTGTATCAATTTGTCGGAGTATGGCGCTCATATTTGTGACATTGTTTTGTTCGCTTTGGCAACCCTCGTATATATCAGATGCTGTTCGGCCTCAAATGCGACTGAATGAACACTGGTGGTGTTGCCTGGAATATGAAATGATATTGACTGATTGTTCTGTATATCAAGGTAGGTACTGTACATTTATACTGAATTTATTTTCACACGAGTTTCAAACTATTTCAGCCTTTAATATAATGAACAGTGAGATCACATCACTAACATACAGTCATACAGAAAGAATTTTCTGATCAATTCTGATTATCGTTTACAAGTAACAGTATAAATGCTTCAAAATTTATTTGTTTTCTACAGTATGTAATGCAGGGCAGCATGCTTTCATTTTGCTTTGGTGGTAGTCACCACTCACCAAGTCAAATGGGTCATTCCATCTATAAATAGCCCCACTATTGAGGTCTGGATATCCTATATGGGGATTTTAGAGAGGGGGATTTTACCTTAAATTTTTCTGGAGGGTAGCTTAAGAGATTTCCAAAAAATTAGGTGTTTTAGTGATACCCAAAGGGGCAGGAACAATATCCTAAAGGGGTAGAAAGATATCCATGGGGGTTCCAAAATTGCATCCAATGAGGTTCCAAAATGTTTAAGGTAATAGTATTATGAAGAGACCCCTCAATAGGGTGTGGGGGGCTATATTAAATGGAATTGCCCAGTGTGCTGCAACAACTTTTAAAATTTGTATATATGTTTTTAAGGCACAATATGTGATGGAGTTTGATATGATGATCAGCACAACCTGGATGTCTTGACTGAATGAACAACTTATGTGATATACTCCAAGTTCCAATACTTTGCTGTATATTATCACCAGCTCAGATGTCAGTTGGATCACTTTGAATGAACATTGGAGTGGCACAATAAAGTGTCTGTATTAGGGTGGAGTCTATAATTAAGGACTGAAGTAAAAGGCACACTTTTGGATATTAATTTGAATCATAGCAACTACATATACTGTAGGTTTCAAATAAGTTTGAACAATGAACAACTGAAAATAAAAATTTATTTGATTTGAAACACTCAAAGGAATTACAACATATTATATGATAGTCATATGTACATGATTATGGGTATATTCATTAGGTTTATTAGCTGATATTTATGACCATCCTGGGACAACATTTTATTTTTCCCAAGAGATTTTACTTGCATGGTAGTAATATAGTAACAGAGAAGTGTGATGGATATGTGCAAGTAATTATCATTAGAAATACAAATATTAAACTGTAATTTTCACCATTGTAAATGATTGTATTATTAAAGAAACAAAATACAAAAGTCAAACAAGGCTATTTAAAATAATACAGTCATAATACTAGACTGGTTAAAGAACTACTGAATAGAGGCATCATGAAAATATTCTAAGATTACTACCATGGCTCTGTACCAGGGAAAGGTATAGTGAGTTTCTTCACCTTGATGAACATTAGAAAACTATAATGCCATCAACTCATTCCCATTTAAAAATTTTCATGTTGGTCAATGTGAAATATAATCTTGAGGCCATCTAATTCTTAATGATTGTTTACTATCTAATTGATGACATGATTATATATTTCCATGGAATTCAAGTTGGCTTTTCCCAAGTTGATGTAAAATATGGTTCACCTGTTAAAATAATAAAATGTTTATTAGTTGTTTTGTAACAGAACAGTACTTGCTTTAATTAAAGAAAATATAGGAAAGAGAAAATGAAAATAACAGTTGTACTGTATATGGAAAAAAGAATAAAATCTTTCTAAGCAATTTCTACTGTTACCATAATTATCATACTGTTATCATAATTTGATTAAAAGTCTTTCTGTATGTGTGAAATGAAGTCTTGTATAATACATGTGTGAAACTGTGTTTAATTGAAAATGTGATTTCCGAGACTCTGGGAAAATGTGAAAGCAACGTGTGAAAATAAATCGAATAAATTCAGTATAAATGTACAGTACCTACCTTGATATACTGAACAATCAGTCAATATCATTTCATATTCCAGGCAACACTATCAGTGTTCATTCAGTCGCATTTGAGGCCGAACAGCATCTGATATATACGAGGGTTGCCAAAGCGAACAAAACAATGTCACAAATATGAGCGCCATACTCCGACAAATTGATACAATATGATGACGAATGTTGCACAGTTTTGTGTACATGTGTGTTCACAGCTTATATCTGAAGTATTTTTCTTAAAATTTGTTAAAACTTTGAGAATAAATACATAAAGAATCAACAAAACATGTGTATTTTTAAAGCAAGAAAATCGTAAGCGCCAGCGCTAATTGTAGTCAGCAACATAACGTTGTCGTTACTGCGCATGCGATAAATCTCCAAGAATCTTGGAGATTTCATCGTATTTTACCAGGGTCTTCCTCAGCTCACGCGCCACCACAAGGAAGACGCTGGGGACGAGGTTGAGGAAAGAGAAGAGAGACTTGTCAACCTCGTCCCCAGGGTCTTCTTCGTGCATGGCGCGTGAAAAATGAGAAGACCCCACTGAGCTATACTATATTACTGGAGGACGTGCTCGGCATCAAAAAGTGTCGCCAAAAACATGGCGGATTTTCGCGCCATATGACGCCATTTCCATGACAACTGGTTCCTCCGGCTCATGGAATTACCGCTGACCAGGCTCAATTCTGAGCCCGCTACAATTTTCACACCCCCCTGGTTTTATCAAAAAAATTTTTGCTTTTCGAGGTTTTTGCAGTAAAATCTCGTTGTTTTTTTGTATTTTTTCGACTTTTGACCATTTGTAAAAAGATTTAAAAGTCGTACACGCTATTCTTACCGGCGAAAGACAACAAACCAATATGAAACGCCCGAGAAATTTAGGCAAAGGCGATATGTGATGGCAGAGCTCACAGGTATAAACCGTAAAATATATTTCACATACTGTTGATATGCTTTTATTTTAAATTTTTAAAAGATAATGCGAGTAAATGATAGAATATAATCCATTAGATAACAGGCTCTTTGTATAGTATAACGTATTATTTTCCCCCATGTGTTCAAAGTCTTGTCGTAAAAAATACAGAAACTTTGTTTCTATATTTAAATTAATTTTTTTTGTTGCTTTTTTTTTACTTTACCAGCTTTGTCAAATTGTTGGCTGGCCATGGTTTTTGTTAAACAAATTTTGTTTTATTTAATTCAGTTAAATCAGTTTTTTCCCTCAAGTCCTTTGGGTTTTCTATATATACTAATGACTGAAATCTGACATGCTTGATTTTATGCAATTGTATGTGCTAAATAAGTGTATATACAGGTATAAAGGCATGAAACAATGTGCTTCTATCTATATTCTTTGTGTTTATATATACTAGAGTCTGTGGTTATTATAGTATGCATAATCTATTCTTGGGTGCCAGTAGAAGCTAGCCTAGGGGTGCCAGAAGCTCAGGATACTGTGGGCAACTTATCTGGTAATATGATTTCTGACTAATGACAAGTTGAATTGAGGATTCTTGAGCCACTAGAAATAGGATTGTACTTCTTGAATGTTGGGTACCAATTACAAGTGTAGGTATAAGCAAAGTATCTAGATTATAGGCTTTATATATAGGGTTGCACTGGATCTCATTATACAGGCTAGAACTGAGAAAGTCACACATGCTAGTCAGACATCAAGTCAGAAACAATTTAATTGGTAGATAATGTCACTTCCAGTCCATGCAGGTGGATTTATTTGTGGTTTTGTTCATTTCAGTCCTCTCTGTGTGCACCCCTGTATCAGATGCAATTACCTGAAACTAAGAAATCAATGAACTTCAACATTTCAGGTGAAAGACCTATAGTATTATTTTATTTTTCAGGTAGTTGCATGATACATTCAAGCCTTTAAATAGTGTGGTGGCTTAAGCTGCTTTTTTCATTTCCTTTCTTCACTTTCTTACTCTTTTGTCTCTAGTGAAAACTTTATTTTACAACATTTTAATTATATAATCTCTTTTTGGTCTAATTGCAGAATTATTTGATGGTGAGACAGTTCATAGTTCAACCTCTTTATTAAAGAATAATCAATTATCAATTATTAGAAATAATTAATTTTGTTAGCAGTGATAAAACTATCCAGACAAGTTATTATTATGACTTTGTAGCCAGATGGGTATGATTTTGCTTTGGCTGTTCAGCATTTTGATCCATTGTGATGTCTTGTGGTACCTGTGAATGATTTTACCTGCAAAATGAATGACAGAATATCAGAATGTAACATTACATTAAGATACATCCTTACACTGCAATAAAATTATGTAATAGATGTTCAGTGTGAACAATATGGTCTTTGACACTCTTTGTATATAATAAACATGCTATTGTGTAATGGAATTGATCAAATAAAGTTATTTCTGCAACAGCCCTCTTGCATTCAAACACCTTATTTGTATTTTTCTTGTTGCTTCATGCTTGAGCATCAGCCTCAGGATAAGCAAATTCCATTGGATTTGTGAGGGCACTTGAACTATATTGGGTCATTACATGAATTACAGAAAAGATTCAGACTCCCACAGCCTGTGCTACAAGTTACAGCTGTGACAGTGTAGAGGGGGGATCCACAAGTAAAATGTGCTAGAATATCGAAGGGGGGGGGGGGTGATACAAATAAAAAATGATGTTTAATATGACTTAAAATTATTAAGCAATTGAGTGCACCAGCACTTTCCCCTTAACAAGTAAAATTATCTGGTATTGGACTGAGTAGGATAACAAAGTAGGGCATAGTGTTCCTTAATTAATCACTTATAATAAAGGTTTAAATGCTGAATTTTTTGAAAGTGCCAGAGTGGCAACTGGCAGGGTACTGAAAAGGTAGGTTGTGCACATGCATCCTAAATATAAATACTGCTACAAAAACCTGGTAGTTAACAGTTAAAAGTTAAGACCAATCTCAATCACGAATTTCATTATTTCAAAGTAATATAAAACAAAACAAGTCGGGAAACTAGGTTTTTGAACCCAAGATATGAGACAAAATTACAGTATGAGAATGAGTTTGAATATAAAGAACAACAAAAAAAGGATACAAAACTACTGTGATATTGTTGAAATTAGCAATATTATACATTTGCTGTTTATAACGGTCGTTTTTGACATAATGTATTTATGCTTTTCCATCGAAATTGCAAGTTAAATTTGCCCGAAGCAGCCCAAGCTTTGGCAAGCTCGAGGGCAAGCTAGAACTTATAAAAAGTAAAAGAAATAAAACTTTTGTGAATCTTACCTGGAAACAAGAAATATAATAATCCTTTCGAGTAAATTGTTTCATCTACAAGCAGACTAAAAACTTAAAACTAACACACTTTTTTCTCGACTGCAAAAATATCAAAATGTTCAGTCGAAACTCGAAAATTATGATCAAAATTTGTGCAAAAACCAGGGGGGTGAAGGATTTTATTTCAAGCTCAGGATCGCGGTTGGTCAGTGGTAATTGCCATGAGCCGGAGGAACCAATTGGCGTCAGCAAACATGAAAATCCGCCATGTTTTTGGCGACACTTTTTTGACTGACGAGAGATAGGAGCACCTCCTCCAGTAATATTATAGCTCAGTGGAAGACCCTGGTAAAGGCTGTGAAAATCTCCACGATTCATGGACATTTTAGTGCATGCGCAAAAGCGAATTTGCCTTGGCGCTGACCAATTCATTGCTGGCGTACAAATTTTTCATGGCCTTCTTGAGATGAAATATTTCAGTTTGGAAATGTATTTTTTGCTAAAATATACCTCTAGATAAGTAATTTCTCTTCAAAAATTAAGATGTCTAGAGAGAGAAAATAACAAGAAGCTAGCACGTCTAATTTTTATCTTCCTGGCCGAAGAATTCGCGTTGTTTGTCATGTCTCACGGCTGCTTGCACTGGCAGTCTGACAACACTGTCACTGTGAAGGTAATTGAAAAACTACAATATATTATTGTTATTTATATTATAATTCAACATATAATGGCCCTATGACTGGTGCTAATATGCCTACAAAGTATTTTTTAAAGCGCTTAGTTTTGAGAAATTATAATTTGATAATGAAAATTTACTAGTGGGCCATAGACTCATATCCATTTTACACTGTGAACGTTGGCACTTGTTTAAGTTATTTTGACTAAAAATTATCGCATGTTAATAAATACTCTAGTATATAATAATACTGTAATTTATAGTTTATTCCCTTGGAGCATGCAAAGTGCCTACATGTGGAATAATTTGCCTTAGATCCACAGCTCTCATACAGGAGATTAGAACTCCCATAAATTCTTTTACACATCCTAGTACATTTTACCATTCTAAAAGTGCATTTCCCCATCCCCTTTCAGACAGCAGAAATTTCATTTGTATTGCGAGTTTATATTGTGCACTGAATGGTGAATCAGTAAAACTAAAAGATTGCCAACCAGTTT